CGCGGGTCATCGAGGAGCCCGGTGCGTGTCGGGGCGGAGGGGTGCGGAGGTGTCCGCTCCCCTTCCGGGGACGCTCCGCCGCCCTGGAGCTCTCCAGGAGCGGCAGATGTGCTCGTGCCGCCGGGGGCGGTCTGGCGGCTGCCCCCACCCGGGAGGAACTGTCTGCCACCACCCGTGAGTAACTGTCCCACATTTGACAAGTGAGGTGGAAGGAGCTGGGTTCAAGTTATTCCAGCATCCTTACGTCCAAAAAGCAGATGTGTAAGCAGTGTGTTTCTCTGTTGGTTAAGGCAAGTCGGCGTTTTAAAAATACGTTGTCAGGAATTCTGGAATTCCGTGTGTCCTTGCAAGAGGCTGCCAGTACATTAGTTTTCCAAGCAGTGAAGTCTTCATCTTGTTATAAAACAAATAAGGAAATAAAAATCCTGCAGTTCCCAAAGTTGGCAGGAGAACTTTCACGTACCTATGTCCTGGTTTCAGCTGGGACAGGTTTAATTTTCTTCTTGGTTGCTACTATGAGGCTGTGTTTTGGACTTGTGCTGAGAAAAACATTGATAACATACTGATGGTTTTAGTTGTTGCCAGAAGAGTCAATGATATTTCAGCTTCCCATCCTTTGCTGCTGTGCAGGTGCACAACAAGCTGGGAGGGAACGTCGCCAGAGCAGTGGGCCCAGGATTTGTGCCTAGGTTTAGGATTAAGACCCATATTGGCCACTGGTATATTCCATATCGTGCAACATCATGCCCAGTATATAAAAGAGGGTGATGGGAAGTTCGCTCTCTTGCTGTCTCACTCAGGCTCTCTCTCTCTCTTTTGGGATTGTGGTTTTGGGACACCGTTAGCCAGGAATGGGCTGGACCTTGATTAGTCGGTGGTGAGCAGTTGTGCTATGTATTACTCATTTATTATTATTATTGTATTTCAATTATTAAATTGTTCTTACCTCAATCCATGAGTCTCTTTTCCCTTTACCCCTTTAATTCTCTCCCCCATCCCCAGGTGGCAGGGGAGGGTGAGCAAGAGGCTGCATGGTATTTGCTGCCTGGGTGGGTTAAATCACCACAACCTGCATTAAAGTTTTCTTCAAATAATCTTTCACAACCTGTGTTGTCCTTCATGTCCCTCTGCCAAAGGTTATCGGCACCACAGATTTCGTAATACAGCACTGGAAGGCTGAGAAACTAATGCATATGGGTGTGTTTTCTCCACTCGTGGTGGGAAGGCATGGCATATGCTTTAGAGGGTAGTTTCTTAAGTTACTGAGTGTGGATTCCCAGCACACACCTGGAAGTAATATTAAGCACTGTTGCTTAAGAGCTCACTTTTCTCTCCCAGCTACAAGTGGTGACTTCCTCAATAGATTGGACCAAAAGGAGCATATGCTTGTGCTGGGCCTCAGCCACTTCATAACTTAAATTCCACTTCCAAGGGAAGATGTTGGCCATCTGTTAGGTACTAATCCATACTGGAATGCAGGCAGTAGCAGTGACTTTACTGTTGTGATCTGACGTGACAAAACTGATATTTCTTCTCGGAAGCATATATTCAGAGTATTCTTGCATTTGGCTGTTGCTAGCATTGCAGCCCAAAGATAGCCAGGCGAGTTTCAGCTGTGTCAAAAGTATTTTTACAGTCTGGAGACTTACTTATGGCAGTACCTGAACCATGATTTTGCAAATGCACTTAACAAAGTTAAGACAGCGTGATCTCTTTCTAGAAAACAATACCATGCTTCATCACTCCTGTGAATATAATGCTGCATATCTAAGGTGCCTTCCAGGTGCATTATCTTTGGGATTTACGCCTGTCTGCTCCTGTGCAAGCTGTAAACTGTCAATTTTCTGTCCATAAATGCTATGTCTGATTTTCCTCACAGACCAGCCAAGGGATTGAATTAGTCTTCCAAAAAGAAAGAGAGTTTGTGAAGCACTCTGTAGAATGCACGTGGAAGCTAGCAGAAGCCCAGCAAAAACTTGGTACCTTAGCACTGCATAATTCAGAGTCTTGTGATCAGGCATCTGCTCAAGCAAAGACTGAAGCTGCAGAATTGAGGTGGAGAGAGGAAGAGTGGAGAAGAAAAGAAGAAGCACTAAACCAGACGGAAAGACAGAATCTATGGAATGCAGATCCTGTTAGTAAGGAGGTATTTAATAAGGTATGACCCATATCAGTATGCATGAAAACAAGTATTAGCCTCTTCTTTTTCATTCCACTTGTTAGTAGTCTTGAGTGTCTTCTGTGTCCACTACAGCACAAAACCACAGTCCGTGTTAAATGTGGGGTTTTTTTCCTTACTTTGCCTCATAAAAGGGAGCAAGCTGCACTCGTACTACAAATCTGGATGATGTTTCTCTACCAGAAGTGCAGATAAGAACTTGTGTGGGTCATCTAGGTATTGGATATGGGCTGGCAGTGTGTGCTTGCAGCCCAGAAAGCCAACCGTATCCTGGGCCACATCTTCAAAAGAAGTGTGACCAGCAGGTTGAGGGACATACTTCTCCCTCTTTACTCTTCTCTCATGAGACCCCACCTTGAATACTGTGTCCAACCTTGGGGTGCCCAGCACAATAAAGACATGGACCTGATAGAGCAGGTCCAGAGGAGGGCCATGAAGATGGCTGGAGGGCTGGAACACCTCACCTACGAAAGAAGTCTGAGAGAGTTGGGGTTGTTCAGCCTGGAGGAGAAAAGGTGCTGGGGAGATCTTACTGACCTTATTGTGGCCTTTCAGTACTTCAAGGGGGCTTATAAGAAAGATGGAGACTTTTTTTTAATCATGGCCTGTAGAGATGGGACAAGGGGCAATGGTTTTAAACTGAAAGAGGGTAGGTTTACACCTGATATAAGGAAGAGATATTTTTTTTTTATGAGAGTGGTGAAACACTGCAACAGGTTGCCAAGAGAAGCTGTGCATGCCCCATCCCTGGAAGAAATACAGGTCAGGTTGGATGGGGCTTTGAGCATCCTGATGTAGTGGAAGATGACCCTGCCCACAGCAGGAAGGAAGTGGAACTACCTGGCTTTTAAAGGTCCTTTCCAACCCAAACCACTCTGATTCTATGTAGTGCAAGTGTTGCCAAACATGCTGAACAATATTTTCTTCACATGAAGAGTGTGCTTCTCTACTGTGCTGAATTCTTAAAATGTGAAACTGTTAGTTTGCCTCTTGTAATGACTACTGCAATGCAGGTAATTTAGCACAAGGTTTTTTTAATAGTAGAATCTCAAGCTTTGATTTCACAATTTCATTTGAACAGCTTGCCCATCTCCTAATTTCACTGATTTAGCTGCATCCAGGCTGCAATGTACTTGACTCTCATTGTTGACAGATCAGCAAGTTCCTACCTGAAGACTAAAGTTTCTCAGAGTTCTTTGGTCAGTAGACTATAATGTGACTTTTAAACTCTATTATTAGGTAATGCACTTTTTTAAAGAAAACCTACTCAAGTATATGACATGACTCTAAAATTAGAGCATAGCCCTTTAAATAGCAACATATTAAAATATGTTCCTATATGTCACAAAAAGGTATGTCTGGAGTTTCTGTGATAGTACAATTTTTTTCTTCCTCAGAGTTTGATTAATCAAAAAAGAAAAGAAATAGAAGATGAAGATGTGTCTGAATCACTTATGCAAAAACATGAACAAAAGATTAGACACTTTGGTGAGTGTGCTTTTTCCAACATTTTGCCATTCAAACTTCCACAGATTCTGTGTATTTTTGCTCCTTATTGTACAGGATGAATGCTAACAAATGAAAGACCTGGCTAATAGACTGTTCAGCTTTATTTTGTCAGGACAGATAGTAATTTCAAGGTGTAAACTGTGGAAGCTTGTTAGTTCCTGTGACAAATAAGAACTTAAATTTAAAAAAAAAATCAATAGTCAAATGAGTTTAAGCCCTGAAAACTAAAGTTCTAACAACTTTTTCTGCTGTTCAGTGGGAAAAGGCAGGGACATTAATGGAGATATGAGCTGCGTGTATAAAAGTACATGGGACTGTCCATAGCGGTCTAATTTCAATAAATGTTTCCCTGGTGGCTATTAAGCTACAAGGGTAGTGACTGATTAAAGAGAAATGTCTGGAAACACTATGTGCATGCAGTTGTGCATTTCTTAAAATTACATTTAATTATCCACTAGGTGTCACTTTAGCTCTGTCATAATTGTTGAATCAAATTAAGCACAAAGCTTATCTTGTAAAGTAACGTGAAATTTTGATGGTTCTCTGAAGTGCTTTCCATTCTTAGTTACAGGCTGCTTTCAGATTATGGTGTAGTATAGACACACTTGGAATTCCTGAAGAATCAAGAACAGGACTGAGTTAGCAAAAATCCAGTTATTTGTACAAACTCATTTTTACTAAGCTATTTGGCTTCTAAGAATCTTCAACTGTTTTAAAGAAAGGGTTCCTAGCCCTATTAGCCTTAGCAAGCCTTGCAGGTACCAAGCTGAGGCACAGCACTGTCAGAGTATGCAAATAGCAGTGATAGGCACAGGTTCTCTCAAATACCTTAAATGCTAAGTGTAATGATAGCAAAATAGAAGATGTCTCCCCTGCTGTGCATTTCATCAGGAAAAAAAAAATTCTTGCAAGGCTTCCTAGCTAAGAGTTGGGCAAAACTACTTTTTTGTCTAAATTCACATTAAGCTGTTACAGGAAAAACCTTATTACAGAAGGTCATCAGTTTTTTCCTAAATTCAAAGACATGTTGTTATTTTAATTCAAAATACATAAGTCCACTGTAAAAAGGGACAGTACATTAATGCTCTTTCAAGTCTCTTGTTCTGCACTAGCTGCTGCCAAAGGGCTCTGCTAGCCGTGTTGCATGAGTCCTGTTTCTGGATCCTGCTCCGGCTTCCAAGCAATAAAGAACTTAAGCGTGATAGCTCTCTTGAAAACAACCAAAAGAAATATATTAGCCATTGCTTTCCCTTTAGGCATTTGCTTTCTAGAATTAAGGTTAGCTTAGGTCACTGCCACTGAATTATCTTTAGCCCAGTTATAAACAGGTAAAGCTGTACCTCTGGTATCTCTTGCCAGTAATAACTTGACTGTCAGTGATACATGAAGTTCAGTTTTAAGAAGTGGCCTGAGTACTGAGTTCTGATTTTTAAACACAGCTCTTTACATGAAGGTCGCTTCATGCTGTCACAATTCAATCTTGTAGTTAAGCTTCCAATACTGATGTGGCTTTGCTTTTTGAGATCAAGCTGTTCCTGTAATTAAATTCAAATTTCCTATAAACCTAGCAAATCATGTGTTAGAAGCACTTTAATTTTTAACACATTATAGATTCTTTTCTTTGCATTCTTATTTGCAAACATTTAGAAGATTTGTCTTCGTCAGAATAACTGAAAGTAAATCTATCCATAAACTTTTAAATCTATTTGATGTAACTAATAAATACCTACACCACTTTTTTAGTGTGTGTTAGTGTGCATGAAAACTGATTAAAAATAACTTCTCAACGATGTTAGAGATGCATTAAAATATAGGAAACTGTGACTGTTAAAATCTACTTTTGGTATCTTCAAATCTGATTATACCTCCTGGTAATGCTCTTTCAGTGTTGGTTATATGTATAAATAAATCCCTCAAACACCTGTTTACAAGGGTGGATAGTGATAGGACAAGGGGGAATGGTTTTAAACTAAGACAGGGGAGGTTTAGGTTAGAGATTAGGAGAAAGTTTTTTACCCAAAGGGTGGTGGCACACTCAAACAGGTTGCCCAGGGAGGTCGTGGGTGCCCCATCCCTGGAGGCATTCAAGGCCAGGCTGGATGTGGCTCTGAGCAGCCTGCTCTAGTGATTGGTGGCCCTGCATATGGTGGGGGGGTTGAAACTAGATGATCACTATGGTCCTTTTCAACCCAGGCCATTCTATGAAATATAGCTGCATGCTGTCATTCTGAGGTTAGTGAATTGCAAAGCTGTTATATATAGTGGGGTATCAATGAAAGTACCTTCCTTCCTGCATGAAGTTATTTTTCCATTTAGAATATCTTAACTGTGTTTCTCTTATTAGGTATGCTAAGCAGATGGGATGATAGTCAAAGATTTTTGTCTGATCACCCATATCTTGTATGCGAAGAAACATCTAGATATCTCATGTTGTGGTGTTTTCATCTAGAAGCTGAACAGGTACGAAGAAGATGTTTAAATTGTTTGAAAGCATAGTTTCCCACTTGCACTATAGAAAAGCCAACCAACTTAATTACCTATTTAGCTGTTCTTCCAATCCTCTCTCTACTTTATTGGAGAAAAACTCTATAGTGCATTGTCCCCTTGGTTCTGTGAGCATCAGTTCTCATCTGTTTAGGAACTAGAACAAAAGGAAATTATGCTGAATTTTAGGAATACAGTCACAGGAAATACCTTTTAAATCATAACTTTAACTTTTTTTTTTCAGAAGAGAGCTCTGATGGAGCAAGTAGCACACCAAGCCGTTGTAATGCAGTTTATTATGGAAATTGCCAGAAACTGCAATGTGGATCCAAGAGGCTGTTTTCGTCTCTTTTTCCAAAATGCCAAAGTAAGTCAACTTGGGTAATGATGGGAGAAACTCTTGATGCTGTACAAGGGAGCAGTGTTTTAGAGAAGGTTTATTGCTAACCACAAGACGCTAAATATTTTATTGACTGACTTAGGCTTACAGTAAAGTGTTTTGTTAGCAATTCTTTTCTAGACGGAATACTTTGGTGTAATTCCAGTTCTGAAAACAAAAGTTTTTCTGGATTTTGCTTCTCCCCATGGGGGGAGAAGCAAAATACAGCAGAGGGCCAACAGGGATTTTATAGATGGGTAATAACTAAGTAACAACAGCAAACACAGACCAGTTCAAGGACTGATTTTGGCTAATTACACCTGTGTTTTCACTGCATACCTATGTATTGTCACAACTTCCCATGTCGTCTGAAGTTCACAGTGGGGCCCAAAATAGTGTCCCTTTCCCATTACTGAAACAAAGCAATCCAAGAGCTATGCAGGAGAAATGCAGGAAGACTGCAGCTGTGGTTTGCTGTAAATTGTATTCAATTATTCAAGATTCTGATGGATCCTAATATTGCCTAAAGGAGGCAGTAACTACCTAAAGTGCGAGTTGACTGGTGCTTTGCTTTTGACCAGAGTGCTACAACAAGCACCTGTTCTTCTGTTTGGCTTCCGAGTTCAAATAAAGGAAAGGCTAAAATTAGATCTATTTTTACATGTGCTTAGATAAATCAATTACTTTGCTTCTACATAGAAATACTACAGATTGTCTTATAAAAAGAGATCTTCCTGAAATTTCATTTTAAATTGACTAAAATTATTCTTCAGTTGTTCACAGTGCTAGTCCCCGACTAAAAAGTAAATCTGGCTGAAGTGCAAATACTTCATTTTTGTCTTTGCAGACAGGAGAAGGCTATTTGGAGGCTTTTAAAAATGAACTTGAGGCATTCAAGACGAGAGTGAGAATCTGGTCACAATCACATGGCTTTCAAACTATGCTACTGCATGATCTCAGTGTAAATCCTGGACTTGTAGGAGAGCTGACATCTTTTTTACAGGTAGGTTTATTATTTCTATAAATTAATTTAACTAAAGGAGGATTAGGTTCTGTCTTGAGAAGCTGTACCTTTCTGAAATATAAAGAGGATTGTTACTAGAACTGCCAGTGCTCAGGATATAATGTGCAGTATTAATGTGCATAGCATATATGGGCTTTCTTTTTATGTGGTGGAATTCAGAAAGCATCAGCATAGAGCCAAAAGCATATGTTCAGTGTCCTTACATATTCATGCTTAAAATAAACACTGCATCATACAACTGATTAGCTGCTAGAACTGTATTTACAGACCTTATTTCCTTAGTACCGTGAAGTCTTCTCATCCTAAGATGGACAATATGAAGAGTCCAACTTAAGCTAAAATCGATCTCTCTGCCTCCCCCTCCATTTATACAGTTATGGAGAATTAAGCTATTAATTTTTCATCTGTTGCAGAACACAGGTGATCAGCAAGGTTCCGTAAACACAGATGTCTCCCGTTTAAACTCTGCGATACAAAGAGATGAAGAAGAATCTAAAATGATGGACATAGTATAGTGCTCTTAAGACTGAGGCCAAGTACTCTTTTTTTCTTTGTTTTTGTTTTGTTTTGGGTTTTTTTTTTTCAAAGAAACAAACATGGCTATTTTCTTGACACTTATTTTTCTGGGTACTGCACTTTATTTTTGGTGTCAGATTTTTTTTGTTGTTGTTTTTGGTTTGGGGGGGAAGAGATTTTCAAGGGTGGGCAATTCAGAAAAAACTATAATGTTGTTTGAAAATGTGCTGCTAGGATTTTGGTTGCCCTTGAAGAGCAGGGTTCTCATATTGCTGAATGTGAAACTGGATGTGTTTTCTGCTACTAACCTTGCCTTTCATGACTTTAGAAATTAAAGTATGAAAAAAAAAATCTGCACAAATACAATGTTTACAAGAAGCAGTAGATTCTTGGTAGAATCTGCTACTGTCTTACTACAGATGTGGACATGTTTTACTCTGAATATTGGAGATCACAGCTGTATTCATGTTACCTTGCTGACATTATAAGCTCTCAAATTTGGTTATCACTAATAGCAATAAATCAGTATCTGGTATCAGTATTTCACATCTGAATGGATTAGATTAAAACACTGGCTTTCTACCTCTGTTAAGGGGATTTTAATGTTACATTGTGCTTTCATTAAACATAACTTGGTTTTGTCCTAAAATATAAGCAATGCTTCTCTACATATGAGTGCTGGGCTGTATGATTTCAGAGAGTCTGACTCTCTTCTTGCTCATAGGGCTAACTTCAGACTTTTTTTAAACCAAGTCTCATTATGGGGAGACATATTGGATGGAGGGAACTTGAGGTACAGGCGTTAGGCTAAGACTTCAATTTAAACAAAAAGCTTTGTCACAGTTCATATAGGTAAGGTGTCATGCAGGATTTGAAAGGTATTTCAGATGCTCCTAAACTAAAGTGGGTTTCTGACATGACCAGCTTGAACAATTAAAGTGGAAAATCATTAAAAGTTTCCCATTTGAGGAGCTAGAAATCCAAATACTATTTCTAGACAAGGCCTTTCACAGAACCTCTGCAATCCAAAATTCTACTGTTCTTGTCTAACTTGCAGCTGTTACAGCAGTTCTATGTATAAAAATGTATACTGCAGTTGGAAGACTAGCAAAGACAGCTCATCTCAAATAATGCTATTAGTACACACTATCAGTCCTTTACTGTATTGTTGTTATTGTATGTAAGGTCTGGAAGGTATCTAGATTTCAGTAGTTTGAGCACAGTCTCAGGCAAAAGCTGTGCTAAGATCCAGTAATTTTCAGCTTTGGCTATAGAAATGATAGGGAAAGTCATAAGTCTGCAGTATATACCAGTGTGAGTATTAGTACAAATGCAGTAGCAAAGGCAGGAACTGAGATCCACTGATAGAACTAGCTTTTCATGTGCCTTGTGTTCTCTAGCAGTTCTTTTGCAGACAGACTGAGGATAAAGGAGCAAGCAGCAGTTCTGTCCCAGATGCAAATTAGAGATAAGCATCTTCGATAGTAATGTAAATATTATTAAAGATTGACAGATATTCCAGAGAGGATAAGTGAACACTGCCTTCTCCTTAATAATTAGTTAATTATTAAGGGAAACTAGTAACTTGAGGTTGTTCTTTAACTGAATTTTATGTACAAGGGTAGTAAGGGCAGTGTAGCAATTACAAGATGCTGTGCTATCATTAGCTAGAGACACATTGATTTAGCAACTTGGAATATACTGAAAGTTATTTTTAAAGTTTGTAAAGGACTAAAATTGGATGGTGTGGGAATAAGTGTCAGATCATAAGGGGATTTCCCCCCCACCTTCTCGTTCTGGCTAACTGAAACTTATGTAGGCTGGCAAAAAACCAAGCTTAGCTGCTTCTTATTGAAATCAAAATGCATAAATAGAGATAAGCAGCACATCAGGGTTTCTCATTGTAATGTGGTGTCATAGCTACTGTTTTCTAACCATTACTTTTTTTAAGGAAGCACATCTCTGAACTCACTTGGTCTACAGCCTCCATATAGACATTTCTGAAGATGAAAGTACAAGTGGTCAGCCTTTTGGCAAGCTTTCTTTAAAATGTGAGGAAGACTAACTGCTTACAGTGCTGGCTGTTACCATACTGTTCATTTATAGTAATGGGAAAGCTTTACCCATTCTACAATGACTATCTTTTTTGGACTCAAATGTGTCTCAGTATTGATAATATGAAAATTAGACATGCAAATGTAGTCCAAGGTACATCTGCACCACAGCTCTGTAGTTGTTTATAAACAGTCACTGCAAACAGAGACTGGGACCTCCCAGTAAGTCATATAGCTACTTCAGACATGGCCTAGACAAAGTTGTTTGTTCTTCGGGTTTTGATGACTCTTCTTCAAACTCTCAATCTGGTGAGCATAAAAAAAGGCCTAAGAGACATTGCTATTTTTCAGTGAACTCTGCATTACCTGGACTGTTTAGAAGTGTGGCCTGTGGAGGTTTGTAATGCCAGTTACCTAGTGAATAAATAAATACAGGAGCTGGTCAGAAACATGAATTAGTAGTATGAACTCATGAAAACCAGTCCGATTGCTACAGCAATATGACAAAGTTCATAATTTGTCCACTGGAAATCCTGGCACGGGCATCAATGAGCAGTTGTTTTCTCAAAGACAGTAGAAAAGACGCATTCAGTAGTCAAGATCATCTAGCCACAGCATTACCCGATTACACTTAATCTATTCAGTATCTCCTGTCTTTTTTACTAATAAAGTCTTAAAACAGCTGCACAAAGACAGAGGCTTCACCAGCTGTGTTACACATCCTTGAAACTCATATTTTCTCATGCCTGCAAGATAGCTGCTCTGAGGGCACAAATATAAACATTTTAATAAGGCAAATCATCCAAGCAGGTGTTAAGAGTAATTTAAGCCAAGCAAAACAAACTAACGTCTGTGCAAGCAAAGCTAAAAGAAGGTGACTGTCTTCCATGGGACCAACCTGTATGTATACTGGTTCTAGTCTGAAATGGGTTTTTGCAGAATGGTGGTCATGGTTCGCAACAGCTTCTGGTGGCCACAACTAATCACAGTCAAGAACTGTGCTTTCATGTCCTTATCATTGTTTCATGCTACATTTCATGAGTGAGTAAATCATCCTATCACTACACTCCTTGATTAAGAGTCCTTCCCCATCTCTCCTGTAGGCCCCCTTGAAGTACTGTAAGGCTGCTAGAAGGTTTCCCCGGAGCCTTCTCCTCTGTAAGCTGAACAATCCTAACTCGCTTAGCCTGTCCTCACAGCGGAGGTGCCTCTGATCATCTTCATGACCCTCCTCTGGACCCCCTCCAACAGGTCCATGTCTTTCCTGTGCTGGAAAATCAATCAATGTGCTTTGTAATTAAGCTGTATTTTGAAATGTTTCATTCACTAGTCAGTATTTGCAAACATAAATATTTTCTGAATAAGAGACACAAGAGTACCTGCTTTTGTTAAAATCGGTTACTATATTATAAAAATGAGGTATATTTAATATTTAAAAAATACAGCATTAAAGTGAGAACCACAGGCCACAAAGTTTTGTCATAATGTATGTTAAGGACAACATTAGAATTTAATTATTGATTACTCTGGTAGACCACTTAGACAAATTCTTGATTGCTGAATCTCATTTAATCAAGTGTGAGCTATGGCAGATGAGCAGAAATTAGACCTGTTTTCACCTGGGAGTGTCAGCATCTTTCTGGCTCACGTCTGGCAACTTGGTTTGGAGGAAGGCATAGATATGTGGCCAGATCTTATTGGTTTCTGTTCCAGAGAAGGATTTCAATAACCCTTTTTCCCTAAGGAAGCAAAAGAAGAAAGCATTACAAAAGTCAAATTGTTTAATTGCCCCAGGATTTCCACCTCCCCTTAAGATTGCCCTGGCAGGAGTGTGTGAATATGCATGTGATGATTTGACATGAAGGACAGCCGTAACATGAGGAACACAGGCTGGACATGCATTACTCTGTTCCTCAAACAGTGAGCTACTGTCCACATCAGTTCATAAAACTGACAGCTATCCACACAGTACTTAATAACAAACTATGAAGGGTAAAAATAAGCAGCAGCAATGCAGTTATGTAGCCCATGCTATACAGCAGCCATCCAAACAACCATGACTAACCCAGGTATTGAAAAGCTGCACCTCAAGGATAAAAGAAGGTGCATCTGAACAATCAACTGAACCAGGCACAATCAAGTTATTCTGAATTAGTTCTAGTAGCTAGTTTTATCTGTAACATATGTTATTATCAGTAATAATAGCTTAGGCCTATGTCTTACTGTGGTGCTTTGAGGTATTTTCACTTCAGAAAGCTACCAAAGGCAGGAAAACCATTGTCAATCCAGAAAAACTCCTTCTTTAAAACTTAACCACCCCAAAGATGGATTTTCTAGTCTTCTGCTCAACAGTTTTGGTAGAGCATAATGAAGGGTGGTGCATATGGAGATAGAGGAAGGACAGTCACTTCAGCATGTTGTCAAAAGGAGCCTGATTTCTTTGTCTAGGCAGGATAAGACTACAAAGCTCTATATAGTGACCTATTATTATCTATGTATTAATAATGTGATATTTGCAACTTTACATTACGAGAAACTTTGTGTATAATTTTGGCTCTTAAAAGAACTAATGATTTGTTATCATTCCACAGTGCAAATGGCAGTATTCTCAAATAGCTACTTATTCCTAAAGAGCCTTGCTAGCTGTGATTGGCACAGTCCTGGTCTTAGAACAGCTGCTTTTAAATCCTCATTAACAGTTTTTCTATTTGCATATCACTTCTTGACCCCTTGCCCTTGTTAGGAGGGCTTCTACTTATACATCCAGAAGACAAAATACTGTTAAATCTTCCAAAAAAAAGGAAGTATCTCTGTCACCTTACTAACCAGAACAATGTTGCTCAGAACAGTACTGTAAGGTATTGAGTAATGCACAGCACTCTTTATAAAGCTAAATATGTCTGCAGTGAAAGGCTCTTTTGCTAAGCAGGCTTCTGAATAGGTTTCATGCAACAGCAAAAAACATACTCGTTTTCCTAGGTTGATTTCTTACTGAGTTAATGAAAGATACACTGCTATTCATACCATGTTCCCTGTTGCAATATCTCTGTAATTGAAGAGACCTGCTCCTCACTATGCTAATGTGGAAGGAGGTTTTAGAATGTGGAAGAATAGATTTTGCTACTTACCGATAATATTCGAGAACAGGTTTTGTTTGTGCATCATAAGCTTGCAGCCTCTTGGTAACTGTCTCTGGCTTATCATCATCACGCTGAACAAGTGGCTCTCCAGTAATATCATCAATGCCCTAATCATGGTTAAAAGCTAACATGAGTGTATATTTCTTATTTCTGTTTATGTTTTGTGTAATTTTCTATTTAAATTATGATCAGTTTCCACTTAGTCAAGGTGTAGATTTCTGCTTATAAAGAGAAAAGCTACTGGCCGTATCTTATCTGGAGATGTTGACTTTCCAGTAAAACAGTCCATCAATTAAAAACATTTTCTCAGTATTGGCAATCCACATCAGGTCATAGTAACTTGATGAATTTGTCCTCTGGAATATTTGTTGAATATGGGGAATATGAGAAAAAAACATTCATGTATGATGGAAAACAATATTGGTGGTAATATGTTCCTGCATAACAGGAAAAAAGCAAGACACCAACTGGACCTTTGTTTGACAGTACTGAAATGGGGAAAGGAGTTAATGGTCCTTTGATTTTTAAGTCGCAAAATGGAAGAGTTATCATTTAGCAACAGCTGTTCAAAAATAGCATAAAAGGCAGCTGAAGTTTTTCTAGGATTCAGTAAACAGTAATAGGGACCTCCTCCTCTGCGAACTCTGAGAGCTCCTACTTTACTGCACATTTCACCTCCACTTTACTGAAGTGCTTTAAGTCACTGTAGACCTTTTAAGCCTTTAAACCAGCAATGACTGAAGAAATAATTATTGACTACTGGCATATCTTATGAAGGACTTGCTAGTGGCATAAAGCTGGCTCCTTCTTAGGTGCATTGAACCATTGTGTATCTAAGGACAGAATATGACCCACCACACATACAAGGGACTCTTTGCTCCTTCATACATATTAATTAAGTCCTTAATCTGACATTTGCAGTGGAAACGTGAATGATCTTGCAAGTACAAAGCCAATTAGACAATGTTTTCCTTTCCTGCTTGCATTCTGGCAATCAGTTTCAGAAATAAATAACCATCAATGTTCAGTAAGCTGCTCTGTTCGTGAAGGTGTGAAGAAAATCTGTGCCAGAACATCTGTATCATATTAGAAATTGATTTATATGGTCAAACTTATCTTGTCTACATAATACAATCATATAAAACACTCAAGTGCTTCTTTCTAGCATCTGTGCAGGCAGCCATAATAGTGCTTTGAATTTACCTATCAAATATTGAACCTTCAGCCTTGCATTAACTCTAAAGCCATAATCTTTTGGTTGTGTTGAGTAAGTAAACATTTTGAAGGTCTATTAGATGAGAGGCAACTGCATTTCAGCTGTTCAGCTCCATTCCACAGTTCCAGTTAAATCTACTTTACTGTGTTGTGACAGCCTGCTAATTAGTGGAAGGTAGAGTGGAGTGTTCTCAACAGCAAAGCTGCGGCAGCTGAAGCCCGCTCTTTGGTAGGTCTGTTCATTCCCTCTTGCAGCTTGTCTATGCTCTTCTGCCACTGAAAATAACCATGACTTAAAACACCGCATTTTAAACAATACAAAGGAAGTGTTTCCCGTTGCTTACTTCCAAGGTTTACCTGCTATTTCACAGAATCATGGAATGGTTAGGGTTG